TAATTTATTTTTCTTGTCTCTTCAGAGTAAAATGACAACAACAACAAAAGGTCTTCGGAGTTGCGGATGATTTTCAATCATGTTGAAAATTTCTGAGCTTTGCTGTGCCTCCAAGAAAGCAGAGCTGGCATTAGTGCATTATCATCACTCACACAACAACGATTAGGTCTGAGCAGATACCCCTGGGAACATTAGCTCAAGTAAATACCAGACACTGGATCATAAAGGTTCAAGAGAGCTCAAAGTGCTTACTGTTCATCATCTGATTCTTAAGGGATTTGTATTTCTGCCAACTCAGTAAGTGAACAGCACAGCCTGTGATTCATTTGCCATACTATACAACACATTTTCATTCAACAAACCACAGCAGCACTCATGCTGCACTCAATTTTTGACTTGCTTTTGGTTGCAGCTGCTTTTCTTGTCTTCGCTTCTCAGCTTAGCACAATCAGGCTTGATACCATGGCAAAGAGCGTGGTGGTGACAAGAATCCCTTCTAATCTGTTGCGATCATGTTGCAAATATCTTCGATCGGAGAATGTTCTTGGGGTGCAGGCTTGAATCCAGATGTGTGTCTTGCCCAAACACTCTGTACTTTAGGTGTATTTTAGAGCTACTTCATGTTTGTCTATTCCACAACAGGAAGGAAATTGAATGAGAATACTCAGGATTTTTAAAACTGTCTTTGGGACATTTGGAATCATTCAGCTCCTTCAGACTCATCCTGTGAGCAAAAACGCTCTTGGGACCTGGCAAGGCTGGCTCTTGGCAGGATACTTGGGATCATACTACAACACAAGAACGGAGAGTTGATTTGTTTCATGAGTGATTTCTTAAATATTATGGTATTATTTTTCAGCTTACTTAACCAATTCTAACACAAAGACATGTTTTCATCCGTGTGTGTGTGCAGGAAAATGTCATCAGGAAAAATGCAACCTTGGCACAAGATGCTAATTCAAACCAAGAAACCTTAAGATGCAAGGTGCACATCAATGTAAGAAGCTTTCTTCTATTGCAGGCTACAAGATAAATCAGGCTTTCTTGTAAACAGAGAAATAGCAAACACTTTGAGAGAAGAATGTAGCCTTCTGCATGTCCCTTCAGGCTCTGATACGGATTGAGGGGTGGTTTCCCTTCATCATCTCCTTCTATGAGAATAATAAGCTCTTTGCCTCCCTGCCCAGACAATTTTAGAAATCTGGATTAACATGACATATTGATTACAAAATCTGTTTATTTTTTTTCTTGCTATTATTGTCCTTTTTCTTGAAAATTTTGGATATTTTGTGATTTTGATTAATTTCAGAAAGGGACTTTGAAATCAACCACTCAGGCAAATGTTGCTTAAAATTCTGTAGCTTAAAACATCCACCATTAGACTCTGTTCTTCCTAGCGATGATATTCTGAAGATTAGTCACTTTACTGTTACAACATTTGCTCCCTCAAAAAATAAACAATCAAAAATAAAACAAGTAAAGGCTAAACACTCAGGAAAACAACCACAAAACAAATGCAAAATCTCTACCCTACTAGTACTTCTCCCACCGTGCTGCTCCTTTGGTAGGACACTATCAGACATCTCTGTGCACCTACCAGTGCCTTGCCCTGACCTCCACAGCAGAGATATATGGAGTACAGCCCTGGCCTCAGCCCTTTTTTTTTGGTTATTGAGGTATTTTTTAAACAAAGAAAAATCCTCCCAAGTTATCCCTTGAAGCACAGTAGTTCTGACGAGTGAAAAAATTCGCCCTAAAGCTCAAGCTTTTGATACAGCTTAAAGCCAGGAGCACAAATGCTCCCAGCACTCAAGGATACCTTGGGAGTGGTTTCTATGGACTTATCCGCAGAGAAAGCAACACTGCGTTGTTGTGCTCTGCTCTTACTTAAAAGCGAAGCTGCACCGAACAGAAGGGCTCCCAGTGCCCCCTGCTTGGGTGCCACGAGTTCACTTCACGATGGGGATAATTTGGGCCTGGCAGCACTGCGGTGCCCCGGCCAGCCTCCCCGAGCAAACCAAATTAGCTTTGTCTCCTGCCTCATGAGCCACTTGAGGCGCCTCCTCTCCCCGTGGCTAATGATGATGTAAGAAACTTTAACGGGAGCCTGATTTGCACAGGCTGGCTTTAGCTTTTTGGGGACAGCTGTCCGAGGAGGGTCCGGCGACCGACAGGCAAGGACTCTTCCATGGCGCGAGCAAAGACGGTCCCGGCCCCACGTCTGTGGTGATGGTTTGGCAAATGTAGATACAGGCTCAGGCTGTGGGGCTCTTCAGGCCTAGGCAGAGGACTTCAGGCTATCACCACGGATTCCTAGGTTAGCCTTTCCAGGGCCTTACTTGGTAACAACTGAAAAATGTCGAACACCCAGGTGCCTTCTTGAAGATGCATATCCACATTTATCTTTCTTTCTGGAACATCATCCTCACAGCATTAAACCACTACTTCATGAACCATAAATAAAAGCCAACTTCAGAATGCTCACTTGCCTCTGCTCAGCAGGCTTTTGGAAATAAAAAAAGAATATAATGTTGTACAGCCATTTGTCTGTACCTATAGAATAAACACACCACAGTGTTTGTGTGTATGTGTATCCACACACATATGTTACTTTCTTCTCTTCTGGCAGTTCAGTATGGGGGAACTTCTATTCTGAAGAGTCACGTTTGCTGCACCCTTTGGTGCCCTTCGTTTTTCTAATTTGCCTGCATGTTTGAACAGGGCACCCAAAGTGCCCAAGCTGGTCAAAGGAGCTCAGAACAGTTTTGAAATAAAATTTGGTTTCTTTCCAGGCAGGGAGATATTTAACAGGTCATAACTGCTGGCATGTATAGCAGAAGAGACTCTCTAACAATTAAATACATACGGAATAAAGCAGAAAAGTTACAGGAAGGAGAATTTGTCTAAATTGCACAGTGAAAGGAAAGAACTTTTTGTAGACCATTAATACTGAAGATGTGGCATTCTTAAAATAGCTCCATATCCAGTTATGACCAGAACTATTCACCCAGGGCTCCACTTGGGCACGCAGGAAGGGAAGAGCTTATCGGAGAAGAATTTTCTTTCCATGGTGGGAACAACTGCACGATGAGGAGCCCCCACCCAGCGTGGGATGCCATTGCCAACCAAGGATGCCCTGGCACATACGGGGGTGTTACAGGCTTGTTGAAACCTCTCAGCTTTTATTAATTAAATTCCTGACAGAAGTAATAAAACCCTGTAGCAGAAAGCCACACTGCTCATTCCTGAATCATATAAAAATCATTCACCACTTTATGTACAAGTTTTGAATTACAATCTTCAGCTTCTCATCAGAAAAAGAAAAAAAAGCCTAAAAAAAGTGGTTTTGGTAGTATACAGATGCGTATTTTCAATTACATATTATCTTACACAACACGTTCTTTAACAAAAAGCAGAGCCTGTTATGTTTTTTAGAAGGCAGTGTCAGGACAAAAGTAGGTGTTTCACCTCCATGATCTGAACAATGGCTTTAACTGGAGATAAGTGGACATGAAAAGATTCCTGACGGTTCTGATATAGCTTAACAGAAAAGTAAAAGTACTTTTGTAAACAACCTTACAACAAGTGTCTTATGAAACTGATAAGCCACTAGCAAGGTAAGCTGCTAAACTCCGCTTGGCACAAATTGCCATACTCTACCTTTATAGCTTTTTAGAATATACAAATTTGCTCACACCAAACACCTCACTGAGAAATAAGGGCAAATAATTTCTGATGGAATTAAGAAAGGGACAATTTGAATACAAAAAAGCCAAACTCCAAATTCCCTTTGTACATCATAGGAACAGCAATACAACCTAACTACTGAAAATGGGAGCAATTCCACAGTTTATGGCATAACAGTACTTATGTCACAGTATAAGACTCTTTTTAATATAAACTTTGAAAAGCTGTGACTGTTAGGAGCGACTTTTGTATTATGTACCATTAAGCTAATGCTGTGTTCAATTCCATTATTCAAATTAAGTGACTTTTCACATTCTACACTGATTTACTTCAAGAATCTCTGTTTTAATGAGAAGGCAAACCATAAAAACTGTCCCAGTAAATGATTTTGTATATGTAATGATCAACCATGCATCTGGAGTCAAGCATTAGCATTTATGTTTAAGCTTGAAGTAGGGTAGCATATGTTAAACAAGCTATGGAACACGGTGTCCATTTTGGTAGATGGACAGATGTGTGCAAACAGCAATGCTTTGGATAACTTGTGCTATTCCTAATACTGGAGTTATTTTCTTTGCCAATTACATTTTGCTATAAATATGTGTGCCCTTAAGTTGCTCCCAATATCAGTTTCAGCTAACTAATCAAATTATCTGCTAAGGTTTGGGGAATGATAACCCTTCCTTTATTTAAATAAAATGGAGGGAAGGTTTTTTTAACTCGTACAGCTTTGCCAACAACAGATTTATTTTTAAGAGAGAATGACACTGCTCAGGAAACTGCCCTTCATCTTTGTTTTTCACACATAAGCATCGTATTATTTATGTTTATTATCAGGTAGGCAAAGTGGGGGAAGAAAAAAAATATTGAGACTTTTACCAGTAATATTTTACCAAGCTCTGCTCATGGCCTCCTCTGAACAACCACTCACTTTGTATCAGCACAAATCAAAATCTAGATTATCCCTATTCTGAGGGTTTGGCAGCTAAATTTCAATTTTCTATTTTCATTTTGCAAAAGTGCTATTAAAAACTCACCCCAAATGTGTATGCCAAGAGCTTACAAATATATTGAGAAACTATTCCTTGAATAAGTGCCTCATTTTTATACCAGCTAAAAGTTAATTCATAATTCAAATAATCAATATGCAATGCAAACAAAGTTATTTTCTCCCATGTTTAGATGGTAACTAACAATCCCATTCGTTACACATTCTGCTTCAGTTCATTAAGTGCAATTCTTCAGCCACAAAAGCAGCAGGCTTTCTGTGGTGGGCTTGCTTTGAACTATGTTCAAATGAGTGGAATAGCTGAGATTCCTGATAGAGATCTAAGCCACTTCCCTCATTTTCTTAATAGCTTCCGCTATTTGCATAGTCAAGTCTGTTTCATCATGTACTATTTAAAATAAATGCATCTCCCCACACCCTTCTCTCCCTATCCCAAACAAATTTATTCACATTTATGTAAGTATTTTTCAGCAAATAAGTTGTAAGGAAAATCCAATAAATGATATTAAGGCAGTAAGTTCATAAAAACCTGTCTTTGTCAACTTCCTTCCAAAGATGCTAGAAGGACAAAAGCTTTGAAGGTTTTAAAGACACTTTCCACACATTTTTCTTTCATTTATGCAAGAGACCAACTTTGCCTAGTGATCAGATGAAATTTTGCCCATAACTTTGCCCAGTAATCAGACGAAATTACACACTATCCCCCCAAAGAAAGTGAAGAAAATACAGCTTTTTACTTCAAATATTTTATGAATGCAAGATTACAAGAAACATATTTGTCAAAAATGCAGGGCTATCAAGCACTGAACCAAAGATGCTGGCATCAGTTTGACTACCATTTTGCATGTGGGGGAAAAAAAAAATACACTACGTCTACAGGTAAAAGGCATCACTTCTGCATCATGAATTACTCTGGTCAGCCAACATCATCTCTGCAGCTTGCTGCATGTTTAAATCCTGAAAAGAACTGCTACTGTAAATCTGTTTGAGATGAGACATTAGAACAAAACCATTTTTGAACAGGGAAGTTTTTGTTTTGCTCTTATCGAGGTAACACCAAAAACTAAATACAAGATCTTACGAGTTAGCAGCTGCTTTAACACTTGTTAGGCTAGCCTTCACACAAGGAGCATGCATACAGCCACTGCTTACTGCACTTGCTTTAAGTTGAGGGCTGTTGATCCAAGTCGCTGTCGCTGTTTTCTCACCTGATTTGATTAACCTGTTGAACTGAACGTTCACCAAAGGAAAAGGAAAATTAAACGATGTTATAAGTGTAGCAGACAAATACAGACCACACCAAGAAGCTAACACTCATGAGTTGTCATAATAAGGGATAATAAAAAAAAAAAGGCAGTCTTTTCTGTGCATATTTTTTCATTCAAAAGGTCCCAGGGAATCATGATGTGCCTGGCCGTTTCTGTTGCTGATTTCTGATGACCTCTAATTGTTTTTTGCATTGCTGATAGTAAGTTGAGAGACTTTTGTTTTCATCTAACAGCTTTTTATGTTCTTGTACCAGACGGGATGTATTTTGCTGGTCTTTTTCATCCTGGTCCAGTTCTGCTATTAGCTCTTGTCTATAGTTTAAGAAGATGAAGAAGAAGAAGAAAAGAAAAGGTTTTGTCATATCTATTCTATTCACATTTGCAGGCAGGCAACTTCACATGTTTAAATTATTAATAATTAGTCTGAATTCATGGCTAGTGATATTTTCTCAAAAGAAATTAGTTCACAAAAAAAAAGAATCTATTCTTTGCTGTAGTCTGAAGAAAAGTGCTCTTTCAAATCTAATTCACATATAAGCTTTAAAATTGCTGAAAACCACAATCTCAACCATTAAAATTATCCTTTCTGTAATGGATTTCAGATGCAATTCTACAGGTTACATTACAGCACCTACAAATCCACATAGGAATTTACCAATATGTTTAAGTTTAATTTTGATTGACCTCATATATATTTAAAAACTTAAAGCTGCAACTTAAAAGGAAGATCTACAACAATTCTGTTAACTTTAGAGTGAAACACTTCTCTATTTGAAACTGAACTTCTTGAAGTCCAGCAGAAAGCAAAATCGAGTAGATTATTTTTACAACTGTAATTTCAGCTCATTAGTGCAATAAATGGTCAAAATGTTTTAGTAACTATTTTAGGGAAACAAATTGTCTACTTTTGTTTAATCTCAATAAAGTGATGATGTTGCAGTTCTGTTTTCTCCCATAAATTGCTCCTTCCCTTAATATTAAGTATTCACCTACAGAACATTTAACGCTTCCATACTTGGAGCTATCTCAAAAATTCTGTTACGATTTCATCATGTAAATGTTCAAGGCTGCAGTAATACGATTCTGTGCTGAACAAACTCTCACAGTCTAAGTTAACAAGCTCTGCCAGAGCAGAAGTTGTTTAAATCCTGCAAAAAGCATTGCAGGAATTTTGGTAACTTTCTACTGAAACACTGTTATGTATGCAGCACTTTTTAAAGCAGTCAAAAGCAGAATGTGGCAGATCTCTAAAACGGTTGTTTCAGTTAATTTATGCCATAAAAGTGTTTGGTATATTTTTAGTAGCTCTTCTAGAAGAACAAGATAAACCTGCTAAGAATTATCCTACAAAACTCTTGTAGCAAGTAGAATGCATTTTGTTTTATCCTTTGTTTGTGAAGTGACAAGAAGGCAAGCTGCCAACAATGTTTTAGCAGCAAAGCAGTAGAAGAGAAAATTAATCATGTTAATGAATTATTGCCATATGACTGATATTACTGTTAAGGAAAACTTACTGGAGGAAAACTCTTCCTGGATAGGGTGTGAAATAAAATTAAAAAGTTCTTTAACACAGGAGATCTATTTGAGATGAGGTAAACATTACTGTTTGCTACATACACAGATATGTGACATGCTTTAATGCAGCTCCCATCCAAAAGGAAATGCTGATGTTGATTAGAACTTTCAATCACCTGCTCTGAACATATAATGCATGGTCAGGAGCTCAGTATTTTCAAGGTTAGGTCTACGAAACAACTATACTCTATGAAATGTTACTTCAGAAAGGCAAAAAGAATGCTCCCATAAATAATCTAATCTGAAAGAAACATACAGAAGAACAAAAAGGGAACAAAACAGTTCACTTACTTCCTCTGCAACAGCAATGCAATTTCTGTCTGAACTTTCATATACTCTTGTGCCATTTTACAGTGCTGTTCAAACACAGCCATAGATTCTTTGGAGTTTGGACATGGTGCTAGAGGCTGAAAATAAATCAGACATGTTAAAAACTAATCAACTGATATCCCAAAACATACTGTGTTAGAATGTGTCTGAAATACATTTGTATCAACTTTTAGAAACTAGTAAGCTTTTAAAAATAAGTGTTAAACCATGCCGTGGAAAATTTTACAGCACTGATGTCAAAGCTGACTCAGACCTCAAACCTGCCATTACTCATCTCAATCTCTTTTTGTTAACAAGGAATCATAATTGGAGGAGTGTTTGATCACACACAGAAAAAAAAAAAATAAAGTGAATACAAAGGTTTCACCTAATAACACCCTAGTAAACAATGTCTTATTTTGATAGTCAAATTCTGATTTCATTTGGTTTTAGGGATCATATTTCCCAGGGCTTGTTTTTAGTAGCTTGATCAAATCTGAGTCAATCAATCTTGGATTACATAATATATTTTTTTTAGCCTTGGTCAAAACTTAGACAGCATGTAAACATGTGCCACTATGTTTCAGCTCACAATTCATGCTTTAAAATTTAATGTGAATAAAAATATCTAACTACAGTATGTATTTATTACCTGTAGCTGGTGATCTAACGTAAGATACGCCATTGGGATGGAGTTATCTGACCCATTGGTCTCTGTAACAATACCAAGAAAACTTCAACATAGTTTCAAAACGAGTTAATCTGATTTTTAAAGGACATGAAAAATACTGAAACATTTCACAAATATATGCAATCTGAATGTGGAAAGGCAAATGGAAATATCAGCGTTCCAAATCCAAGGCAGATGACTTCATTTGTTTTTCTGATGATGTAAATGTGAACTTCAAACGTATGGTCTACTACACCAAGAAGAAATAAAGACTAATGTTATCAATCTACATTTCTAGAAGCCATGTAACAGCACAAAGATTTAAGAAAAATACTATTTCTTTACAGTTTGCAATCTTGTTCTCTGTTTATAAAGAAAAAAAAATGCCATTCCGTTATTTTTTATGAAGGATCAGCCAGCCAGCCCGTGCATCTAATGATTTTAAAATTAGAAGCTATGCAAACCAGCTCCACCAAAATAAAATAAGCACAACTCCCTGCTCAGTTTTGAAACCTACTCCCCGTGAGGACTGCAAATATCTTCCTCACAACATGCTCTGGGGCATCTTCTTTGCTTTGCAGAGACATTTTGTGGGTTGCAAGGAACCCAGTAACCAATCCATCACCTCCTGGGCCTGGCTGCTCTCTTCTTACACTGCAATTCCACTGGGTTTCTCTAGCTTGTTCATTCCAGATATGTTTCTGAATTACAGATCTTTTCTTTTTTGGTAAATGACAGTCCAGGGAGCACAAGGTTACAGTTAAGCTTTAAGAAACACAGGAGTAAAGACAGATTGAAAAACTACTGATTTCATAGCTGCATTACTTCTACCAGGGGATCATATGAAGGAGGGTAGGTGGGGAAAAAAAAGGGGCTGCTTACCCATACCCCAAAAGCACCTGCCACACAGTAGTCGTGGTAGAGAAACTAAGGTGTTGCCCTCAAAGACTATGCTATCTCCAAGAGCAGCTTCAAAAGGAAACAGAAATAAGAGAGTGGGAATGGAGAAACAGTGGTTAAGTGCATGTTTGTAAGGAAATTGGAAGGTGGTAGAGAAAAAAAAACCCTAAAAGCAGATACTTAATCACCACAATGTCTTAAATCAGAACAATACTAAAGTCCTTCCCTACATTAGACAATTGCCATACAGGGCATGCTGCTACAGAAATTAGTGCAATGTTTCAAATACATCAAGACATGCAAAATACTTGAGATTACATTCTTGAGTGTTTCAGGTCTGTAGTACAGAATTGTAATTTTTCCCTATGATTGTCCAGATTTGACCTCGCTCTCCTTTATCATTTTGTGTCACTAATTTAATAGTAGTCTCTCTTTTACACAAAAACAGAATTATTTCTTTAAGAACCTTTTGTTAACAATCCATCCTTCATGGACTACATAAACCTGACTTGGAAAAAATACATGCACGGCACGTTCTGCATGTATCTAGGCATAAGTGAGGCATTTTTGTGTGGAAGAAAATTGCCACAGTAATGGCAAGTGGCCATTGGCAGTAATGGACCTGACTTTTCATCTAGTTCTGTGCTGCACTTAGGGCTGAAATTTTGGGACATGGTGCCTTTGCAGTGGCAGGGAATCAGCAGCTCTCAGTTCCCAAAGTGCTACTGATTCAGCTCACGTGTAAGAGCTCGTCCCTGCACGAGGCAGCCATCCCTGCCAGTGCACACTGCCTAAGGAAACTCAGAGCCTAAGTTACACAACTAAGGACATGGGGCAGAGGAAAGAGGGGCTGAGCATTATGTGATAAAAGGCAGAGTGTGAGATTGTGAAAAATAAGAATGGACTGAAAGAAGAAAGTATGGAAACAAAATCCAAGAGGATGTTCTCCTCACATGGAAACATGGGAGAAAAGAAAAGTGCATTATCTTGCACACATGATCACTCTATATTTGCTAAAATACCTGCTGGGGCAATATCAGTTGATATGAGAATTACCATTTTGCAGTTGACTTACAGGAAAAGAATGACAAAGTCTCATCAGCCCAAACATGAAACAGATCACCACCAAAATACTGCAGAATTTAAGGCACTTAGAGACTAGCATCTGCATTTTCAAAGCAAAATTGCAATTATTTATATTCTAAAAATTAATTTGTAGGGATCCAGTAGTTTAATGCAGTCAATCTTTTTCATGATTATATGCATTACAACTTTTAAAATGGAATTAAAGTACATTTGCTCTTAAGCATATTTCATAAGTGACGCAACTGTAAAATTCTGAAAACACACTACTGATTCATTTGAGAACAATGATTTGTGGGCAAGTGTGTATTTTGCATAAGCAAAATTAGAACACACATAAAAAGAAAATTAATGTATTTTAGTTCACACTCACCTAAGGAACACCTCATTCCAGAAGTTAGAGCAAAGAAAGCTTTATCTGTGCATTCACCATACAAATGCGCTAGACTAAAACGCTGCAAGAAGGCTATTCCCCTCATTCCTTACACAAAAGTAGCCAAAAAATGCTGCCCAAAGATCTGCACTAAATAGTAGCATCACTGTAAGTGAACAATAATTTGTTATAGGGAAAAGTATTCATGTGTGTATGTAACAATATAACACACATTAAAAATTCTTGTATTCAGTATGCAAAACAAAGCAATCATTTTAAGATTAGATTTAAGCAGTACTAAAACAGACTGGCACTTCCACTTGCTTACTTTTATTAATGTCTAAGCACACAACAAAAATCAAAGGAAAAAAATATATAAAACATTTTACAGACTAAAAGTGAACTAATGAACAAAGCATCACCTGCATCATCAGGTGTCCATGGGTTACGAGTTGGCTTTTCAGAGGTTGGTCCCGAGGTAGTGATCATTCTCACACTAGGACTAGATGACCTACTGCTGTTTCTGCTCTCCTGAAATGACAAAGCATGACAAACTTAAATGACAAAGGAAGCCAAAAGATTGTTTTAAAGTATTCATTTTACATAACATCACTAACATGACAAACTAACATGAAGAAATCTGAATCTACATTTCTCTTAGTGTGGTGTGGGGTGGGGTGTGTGTGGGAAGGGGGAAAGTAAAAAACCTTTTACTCTGAAAGGAAAGCCTTTTACCCTGAAAGTATTTCAAATAGCTTGATAAACTTTACATGCATTACAGAGATAATTTCACCCTCATTTCCACTCCATCTTTACCATATAAAAAGAAACAGAAATTACTTTTCTATTTAGAATAAGTAAAAGCAATGTTGCAATGACGTTACATCTAATAGTTTTCACCACTGTTCAGTAAAACATATCACCTCCGTAGTATAAGAAAAGAATAAAGTTCATTTTTGGAATGAATCAATAAATGGCACTGCACTCAGCTAAACTCAGTGCACTTTTGTCTTGTATTGACTCCAAGGGAATACGATTCATTTTCGGAGAATATGAACACGTGCTTAAGCAGACAGGAATAACAGAATAAAGCAAGAGATTAGAAAATGAGGAAAATTTCTCCTTTTAATTAGTAACTAAAACAAAAATCTGCAGGGACTTCTTCAACATACGACCGGACTTCTCAAATACTTTTGTTTCCCAAAGTACAGACTCTAATACTTTAGACTCTGTTATTCTATCCACCTTTCTTTTCAAAATAGTTACTCAGAATAAATATTCAAAATTAATTTTATATACCCTCCCACTGACATAGTCAAATATTTTAGTATGTTAATACTATCAGCCTTGCCCTTCAAGTCTTCCAGAAAAAAATGTAGTCAAGAGAAAAGATGCTGTTAAAATGCAGCTATTTTAAGTACACACATCAAGAAATTGTTTATCAAGAAATTATTAATTAAATGCTCCTTTTTTTTTTTTTTTAATGCTCAAATATACATGACCCAGAAGTTGGATTTCTTAATGGCTCTAATTTTCAAATATCTTTGTTTTTTAGAAGCAAAGATTTTAGTCAGCCAAATAACAATCTAAAGAGTAACAACACTCTACACACCAAAATATCTATTATTTCAACTATATTAGAATAGATTTCCTCCTGTAATTGCTTCAGTTTGAAAGGCTAGGAAAACACAATTAAACTGCACACACGAGATCTATAACAGTAAATGACCAGACTTTCCAAAATGAAGCATCTTTATAAGAACAATAATTTCAATTCCCTGGGTAAAACATGGAAGTCAGAAATACGGCTCAATCATTACCTCTTCAGAGCTTTAAAACTGTTTAGAAAGCAAACCTTATTTTGCAGCAGTTAAACTGTTCCCATGCCAGTACTGAACACTGGCTTACTTATGCAATGACAAAGTGTTTGCAAACATAAGGTGTTTCACTTCAGTTACAATAATTTTTAATTATAACATAGAGATTATGTTAATTAATATAATTCACTTATATATTTCCTTATGCTATTTAATCTTTCCAACTGAGTTCAGTCTTCAATTATTGAGGAAACCCATTTATGTGAATACAGTCAATGTTGTCAAGGGAAATACGTGTATTCATAAATACAGGGAGTAAATAACAAGAAATGCCATAAAAACTAAGGAATTGCCAAACTGGGACAACAACGTATCCCTTGGTCCTGTATTCGTTCTTTGACAGAGCCACTGTAACAGGTATCGAAAGAAATAATTACATTCCTATTAATCACTTAATGTTTTATTTTAGAAGTCAAAAAAGGGCAATAGTACTCTACAGAAACTTGCAGAAGTGCTTTAGTTACCCTTAAGAAGCTTTTGTCTTGAAGTCTTTGCTGACATTAGATCTGCTACCTGTTTACTGTCAGTGTGCTCAGATATGAATTATAAACACATACAGGTGATGTGGAAGACCTCAAGATTGAGCAAAGATATTGAACAGTATCAGTTGTCTCCTTTGGGGGGAAATAGTAGATGGCAAAGTGGACCTGCAAAGCACTCTAGCTCAAGTAACTTAGCACAAACTGTGGAACTAGACTGTTTGTTGAACTAGATCATTTTGATCCATCCACAGAATAAGCCCATTTCCTTGACAGTATTATTTAGATGAAACTATCACAGCTAGAATAAAGGATTCCTATGTAAGGCCCATTTATATTGGATCACAAAACCTAAAGGAAGTTCCCCTGGATGACCAGGTGTTTGGTTTTCATGTTTGAGTTTGTGTGTTGAGTCAGATGCTTTGGGTCTCTTGCAGTCCCATCAGGCTGTGGCTACCTCCTCTGACACCAACCTCTCTGGCATCTAAGCCCTTCCTATTCCATACCAAGCAACTTCTCTCACCCTTTCAGGAACACCTTTTCATCCTTGCTTTCTCTAGGTATCTCCATACCCTCAGCGGACCTTTTGTAAAAACCTCACCTGCAAAGTACTGTGTGTTAACGCTTTATTTCTTCAGCTTCTGGTAATAGTCAAAAAACAGGCTTTATGCAGGTTACAAAACCCAAGTGTAACCTCCTATAAACTTAGAAAGGTTTTGAAAAAAGGAAAGAAGGGGTTAGGCAAAGTAAATACACTTCCTTTTCTCTATTTTCTCACCTTTTGTGAATGTTTAGACTCAAGATAGAATCCTCTTAGGAACTCCAGAACCTCCTTCCTCCCATCCCCTTCCACATGAGGCTTTGCTTATGGGAACATGAAGTTTTCTATGCACTCTTTTCCACTGTCTCAGCAATTACTGATGTAGCCCCTTTTGTTCTATTTCCCTTGTCAGGGCACTCTCCAAACATTTTTGCCAGGTCATCAAACCCATATTACGTTGTCAGCTTCTTAGTTTCTATTTCTTATAAAGATATACAGCCTTAAGAGCCTGACTTGCTCTGAGAAATAATTCCCTCTCTAAGAATAAAGTATCATTTTCCCCACTTAAATTGGTAACCAAATTAACAACAACGAAAAAAGTCCCAAACAACGAACCCAACTGCTAATGGCCCTGTCTTCTCATCTTCTGTGCAATTTATCTTCCTATGAAAAAGAATGGGAAAAAGTGCATCTGTGACCAATTGAATAATCTCACTGACACAATGATTCATCTATATAGTATCAGATTCTGTGAATTATCTCATGTAACTTGCACACATGTGGGCACATACATAGCTTCTCAATGTACTACTACTCTACCGTTCAATACACAATTTTCTTTAATATACTAAATTTTTTCGCATCACAAAATAAACTGTAAGAGGTCCAGCACCAGTTCTTACCAAAAAATTATTAGTTTGAGAAAGAAAAAAATACCAAATTAAAAATGTATATAGAAGAAAACAGATGTCTTGCTAATAATTTCACCACCAACTGCAGTTCTTTCAGGATTACGCCCACTTCTCAATCTATTGGTATGAAATACCAGATTCTGGGAAGATGCTTGTGCCCAGCCTACAGCTTAGCCATGTTCATCAAGGCACTGAAAGTCTTTCTGGCTGCAGTTTGGAGCCAGTACATTTACTTCTTTGTCATATATAGATGGAAAAAAAGATGGAAACACAGTATAGAGAAAAGATAGTTCTGCTCTGGTCACTTGGAATAAGGTTCAATTCATGGTCATCAAGCCCTACACAAATCTTAAAAAAAAAAAAATCCACTTAATGCATATTGATATTTTCAACATTGAGCTTCTCTAGGAAAACTGATAAAATGGTTGAAAAAGAACTGGTTTAACACATTTTTCTATCTAAGTTGATGATGTAAAAGCTGAGTCCTACAAGCATTCGCAAAGTGCTGTCGCTGTCTGTGGTTGACAACTTTGGTAAAAATACTAGAAAACAGAAAATGCCTCAGGTCTCAGAGCACAAAAACAGTAGCCATAAACCAATCAAAAAAGACCATGTATAAAAGAGACTCCTTTATTTTTAGACCTGCCTCCCCGATCCTCACTAAAAAAATGAGATTATTACTACCTTTGTGCATCTAACTTGTCTTGGAGCTATTTTACTCTACACAAATAATATTTGGCAAGACAGCGGAAGGCTAAATTTTGCAACAGTATATGGATAAGAATAACCACAAAATATACAAGAGGTCAGACGTTAAAGCAGGGAGATGCGAGTCTATGTTTTCCCAGGTGCCACAATCACAGGAGTACTGATTAGAATCTGGGGTTTCCCTCCAAACAATCAAAAATTTCATCTGAATTGGAAAAAACTTCCTGATTTAAAAAGAAAAAAAGGTCCATTTCCATAAAAACAAGTTTAATAAAAGTATTACTGACCACCTCTAGTAATGATCATTTCCACAAACAAAACCAAAAAAATCCTTCAGCAATCATTATAGGGCTTAAAAGGACAGGGTGCAAGAAGGGAAGCACGCAGTGCTGTGAGATCAGTGAAGAAGGCTATGGAGAAGAGAGGGGGTAACAGGGACTGGAATGCAGAGAACAAGGATGTTTGCAATGAAAAGAGGATGGGGGAAGGCGATTCTCAGATTAGAAAGGATATCCTGTGAGCTACAGTGCATGTGGGGAGATATGATAAACTGACTGGAGCTCAGCTGGCGACACACGAAATATTTCCGCTTTGCCTTTTAGATTGACTATATAGATAGCAGCTGAAGAATTTTTAATAGAAATTCAGGGGAAGGAGGTCCAGAACTACAGAAATGTATAAAAATAAGAACACCGAACCTTAGAAGCCAGGTCTTTTACTGGCTTTTTTGTACTTTTTGTACATTGTGCTGGCTTTAAAAAAATTGATTTCTGATTTTTAAAATATATTATCAATAATTAGAACCTGCTCCAGCACCTTCCTATCTATTCTTATACCAAAAAGTGTGAAAATTCACTGTGTATTTATATGGGTAGTACACGAGTGTCCTCCAAAGCACACTTTACGTGCCTGTTAAAATATGTCATTTCTCAGATTTTAATAGTGCTTCTAAAGCTCTTTAAGGTTTTTTTTCTTTTTTTTTTTTTTTTTAAAGCTAGCCATAATTCTTTCCAATATGTAGAAGTAAGTAAAGCAAGAGCGTGACAAATATACTTCTATAAAGTCTTGTCAGAAATTTGTGACGTAAAAATAAGTTTTCTGTATCTTCCCGGTGACAAAAATAATTTACCTAGAATATCTATAAGCAGTAGAACAACTTTCAAAGAGAGGTTCTGCAGGAGTTAGGATCGGAAGTAAATGCTGAAATTATCTGTTCAGGTATTTTTTTTATTCATGAAAATGAACAGAATTGAAAATCTTATTAAAAAAGCTACACTTAAATATATTTATTCAGCAAATAGTGATATCTGGTATTTAGTGACAGGCTGTCACTCCCTGCCTCCCGACTGCCAATCCTGCCTGATTTTTTAGAATTAACTGAATAAGCTAATCTAATACTTCCATAAATTTTGAACTTTTTTTTTCTCTACACCAGCCTTTTTAAATGATATCATAACGCATTTAAGAATCATTCCCCTGCTTTCTGATAAATGCATGAAGTAAGCTGTACTAATAATATCGCAGATTTGATGAGGTTTCTGTGGCTACCATGCTCCACAAAATTAAAGAAGGATCAAATGTTAATCTCTCTGATAAAGACACACCCCTTAAAATTACCACCTATTTTAGTTTATTACAGTAGGATGTTTAATATGGAAACTTGATTAACCTGATGAACACGCTAAGCATTTTTTCCACATCCAAAAAATAACAGGGATCTCAAAATTGCTACTTCACAGTAATGACCAAATATCCTCTACTGAGTTAGTGAAAAAGACAGGCACGATTAAACCACAAAATAAAACACAACCAAATCAAACACTAGCTGTACTCCCTGCATTTTGGATGTTTGCAGTTAATTTTAATTTTGCACAGTATACCATCATGTCTGTTACCATGGCACTTAAGATATCAGATACAAGGCTATGTAAAGCTTTGATATTCTACAATATCTTACTGCAATGGTGACTTTTTTGTACTGAATAGCAGCATCCTCCTTGGCACCTTTTTGAAGAAATTGGAGTGATAACACTGAAAGTCACCTTTCAGGCTTCAGAGAACAATATTATAAACTTATCATTAATGCACATGCTTTTTATTTTTATGCAAAAAGTGAACGTAAGCTACACATAAGTGCTTCAGACAACCATAAGCAGTTATTAGAGATGCTTTTTACATACAAAGAGTCGAAAGCCTTTCCTGCATGACATCTGCCTCCCTCCACACGGAGTGGCTACATACACACTATTTGTACACAACAGGGACACGGGCTACACGTGAGCTATGCAGGTAGCAGCTCCCATCTAGAGTCTCACTCACAGACGAGCCCCACGGATTCCGACCTAAATGCAACACAAACAATGCTTCACTCTGTCAAGCTAAAAGATCCCAGGTCATCCTCCACATCATTCCCACGCCAAGTATTGGAGTTGAAGACTCACAGAACAGTTTCCTGGTACAGATTTCCCGTGGGCTTTACTGAAAGATAGAGACGACACAAAGCCTTTTACCTGACTGGATTCTGTTCCAGCAACACTGAGATCTTGAATGGATCTGCGCCTCTGCTGTCCGTTTCCTGCTGGGGAAACAAAACAAAACAAACCCGTGAGATCTATTCAGAGCAAGCTAAGAAGGGTGCTACTGTGGCAGAGGAGCTTGGAATTTGCACAAATCCACAGAGAGAAAGTGAGAGAGGGGGAGAGAGAGAGACAGCTGCAGAATTTTAACTCAAAATGTGCTGGCCTGTCAACAAAAAGTATCGCCTGATACAACCCCCACTCCTACCACATGAATAGCTCCTGCACTCTGCTCCACCATCTTCTGTCACATGTATTTGACCAGGCTTAGTACTGGGGGCAGGAGCTGATGACGACATCTATTTCAAGTGCGTTACGTTATGGGGATTTCTAAAAGCCAGACTGCCACGATAACGCGCTGCCAGCTCTAACCTGTTGCTCTTCAGCATGCTTAAGAAACATAGCAAGGACTTCTGGCTGGGCTAAGTCCTCCTCACTAAAAGAAGTGAAAGCGCTGGCCTCTGGTCTAAGGGAAAGCTCTTTGTCTTCTTCATAGGAACAAAAACATGAACAAAACAAAAAGTCCTATTCTCATGCTCTAAGAAAGTGTGAAAAGGAGCTAAACCGCATCTTGCTATCAGCTCCTGAGCACAATGCTGTAATCTTTTCCTCTTCTCTTCCCACCTGTTCACAATTATCCACTAGTGACAGCCAGAGAGAACAGCTTAAACTGCTGAGCTGACACTCAATGGCATTTCCAGGAAACTGAGTCTCCTTAAAAATAAAGCAGATTATGCAATAGAATCTCCCCAAGCACTTTGATTTTTATTGCTGGGATTGTTTATATTGTCTCTTGAGAGTAGGTCAGCTGTCCAAAAGGAAACACCAAAACGCCCTGAGTAACAGCTGACAATGCTCAAAATTCTTGGTCTTAGATCTGCATTACGTAACTTTTCTGCTCATGGGTAGCATTCGAAACATGTACTACGGCAGTTGCACCCCTAGCCCCCACAGCAACTCAAGCAGCAGCACAACTCGCTCGGCAGTGTCCTGTAACAGGCACCTAGCTTTTCATGTCTTAGATACTACTTCTTTTCTTCGGCATCAACCCAGTAATACTGCATAGCCCTTCTTAAAGGAAGTTTTGATTAATAGCAATTGCAACAAAAATGTAAAACTAATTGCCTAGTATTAACCCATACTTGGTTAAGGAAACATATTTTGAATTCTAAATAACAGTTACTATTGCTGATAGGAACGCATTATCATAAAGCAACAATACAATATTTGCTGTCCAAAAATTTACCACTTCGTCAAGACATTTGATATTCTAAAAATCTCCAGAAACTACTATGAAAAACAAATATATCAGAAAACTGAGAAATATTCTAGACTGGGAATATATTCCTGGTTCCGACTATAAGTGAGTTTGAATTGCAGCTTCTCTGTGGCCTTTAGGTTTTGCTTCTTAAATTCAGAGGACATACTTACCTAAGGAACAAGGACTATGTTGCATTAAATACTTCTTACGAAGATATGAGGACTTGTATGAATGAGAAAGGTAGGGAAAATTTTTTGATTATGTCCATTTAACACAACTACCTGACCATTTAAAAACAAGATTATATGCTTAATACAATTATGTATTATAGATGATTCATACGACTGCTATAGATCATCGCAATACTCAAGATATGGATGATCCACCCATGATTGACAAAACAATTATGTGCGCATTTCATTCAACAACACTGTTCTAAAATTAGCCCAGCTGAAATGAGCTTGCAAGAATATCTGAAATTCTCATTTCAGATTAGTAACATTTGTGAATTTAAAGAACCCAACACATGTGTTGCTGAATTATTAGATCATGGTTGCCAAAAAGTTAAAATAATCAGGGTGGGGTGCAAGAAAGTAAAGAAAATGCTTTGGGGGAAGAAGGAGGGGGCAAAAACATTGTGTTATAATAAATGAATACCTTTAAATGAAAAAATATTCAAGTTAGTAGCATGAGGGAAGAGCAAGCTCTACTAGGCAATGCCATTTGAATTAGTGTAACTACTGCAGACATCTGGCAAATTGCTTTGACAAAGCAGAAACAGACTACAAATCATCAAATACTTATTGCTCCAGATTCGAGATTAATTTCAACTGAAAAATATAGCATACAAGAAGAAACCTTTATTTGAAATGGTTATTCCTACATCTCTATGCTTTCGTTACATGTTTTTAATCTTGTTCTTACCTCTACATCCATTTAAAATTTAATTTTCCTCTTTGTAAGAGTCACAACATTTTTTTAAATGCCATCCCCCCCATCTGTAGCAGTAGGCAATACACAGATGTACCATGTCAGGATTTCAACAGTTTATAGGCTTTTAAGATTACAAATCAACAGGCATCTCATTACATATAAAAAGAGTTCTGAATGCCTGATCACCATCTGAAGTCACAGATTTTTTTTTAATTCAATGCACTTCTAAAAAAAAAAGGAGAAAATGAACAAAAAAGTATGGCAGTAGTTAAAAAAAATCTGTAACAGAGATATATCCTATGAAATCATGTCATTTACAGTTCAAATGCTTACTGTAACATAGTTTTAGAAGCTCCAAAGACTTACAGTGGCAGTGGAGTCATGCCTTCAGTCTTTCTCAAAGTGCCCATATTGTGGGCAAGAAGTACAATGTCTGGAACGTCCAAGCTACGTTCTGTTTAATGACACATGAAAGTACAAGGATCGTGGAGAGAGAGGGGAAAAAAAGAAAAAAATAAAACGCTAAGGACAGGAGGCAGGTGGCGAGAACGGAGGAGAAGAGGCTCAGGGGAAGAGGCTCAGGGGAAACGCCTTCATTACAATACCCAAGAGTCAAAAATCAAGGAGAAATAATAAGGCAGGGTTTTATAGGAGTTTGATGCTGCAGAGCATTATTTGTAAATGGTAATTTTATATATGTTGATAAGAAAATGTTTGGACTGCTAAAGTATATGTTCTTTTCAACTATTTTCCTTCATTTTATTTTCCTTATCCTTACTGTACTTTCCTTTTTTTTTTTTTTTTTTTTTTTTTTTTTTTTTTTTTTAATTCTCCTTCTTTTTCTTCCTTTTCTCACAGGGAAATTATTATATTCCTTCTTGCACTGCTCTTATTTGCTCCCTTTTAACTGCTTCAAGATTCTTACATTAATTTTTCCCCCAGAGCATCATGAACCTACTTCCTTGCCTCAGAAACAAGAAGCTGCTTTCACAAACATAGACACTGCTTGTTTCTTCTCTCATGAAAATAACAGTATATTGTTTGTATCCTTCAGCCAAAGTACAAGCTTAATCTTCCTCTCCTAGTCCTCTGGTTCTCTTACTCAGATTCTCTCTCAATCCCTTCTTTTTAGATTATGGGTTTCCCATTTGCTGCTGCTCGATCACGTTCTCCCTTTCTTATCCATGCACACCATTCAAATCCCTTCCCCTTAGCTGCTGCCCTTTTTGGGCATCTGTAAGAATCAAACTTCACTTAGACTGGATCATCATGAGTGAATATGATAGTATCAGAACACAAAAAGGACAACATTTTAAGTAAATGAAGATATTGATCTTAATTGCAGAAGAATGAAGTGATCTGAGGACACAAGGTGGAATTTCTGGCTTACATCTGTTTTGAAAACATAAAGAAAAATTACAAACTGAAGCACCCATGATTCCTATACATCTAAAGATACTCAGCAAAACAGCTCTATCTTGTATAATTATTTATTTATGCAGTGCCAACACTATAAAATTCTTACAACCCTGTGTGGTACAAAGTTTTAAATGAAGAGATTACAGAGACAAACGCATGAGATGAATAATGTTGCCAGTGGAAGGAAAAAAATACTATACCTTCAGGTACCTTTGCTAGATGCTGCTCGACTGGTTTGTATCCAAAGAGCATACTACATATCTTTCTTGATCATAATACAAACTAAAAATATCCTTTTTTTTTTTTTTTTTTTTTAAACATGTGGCTATTTAAGCTTTTGGTGATGCCTAGCTTTGTGGGTTTTTTTTTTAATGTGTATTTATGTATGAGATAAAATTTTGCAGTCTATTATCTATGCTGTAATGAAAAGGGATAGTACAGTTGGCTATCTATTTGCACATAATAACCACAGAGAGGTCTCTGACCAAACTGGCAAACTAAAAAGGAATTTGTTGATCCACTTTTTAGTTTTCAAGTTTTGTATGCTAGTCTCAAAATACAGCATCATGAATAAGGAAGTCCAATTCGTGCTTTTTGGAGAAATTATTTATCAAGAACAGCCAATATATGTTGAAAATTCCTACTTTTGCAAACACACTACTTTGAGCTGATCAAGGCATACTTTCTCCAGCCTAAATGGCACAAGCAGCTCACGAGTGAAGCGAAGGCAGCTAGGAAGCGCAGGGCAGTGAACAACCAGCAGATGCAGCGCTCACCCTTCCAAAATAGTCCTGCCCCAAGCAGCTGACTCACGGGACAGGGCCAGGCGCTGCCTGCGCCCCCGCGGAGGCCGCAGCTTCGCTCTGCAGGCCGCAGCAGCGACGAGCCGAGCCGAGCGCAGGAGCCGGGTACGTGGCCGGGGAATGGGGAGCGCGGCGGGAGCGGGTCTGGGGGGCTGCTCTGCGGGGTCAGAAATGTCATTAGAAAGGGGGAAGCGTGTTAAGAGGCCAGGAGCGAAGGCTATGCTGGGAGAGCAGGGAAGGGAATGAGGTGAGAAGGCAGGACATTACATTAAGAGCAAGAAGCTTGTGAGAAATGCTGCTCTTGGTGCACAGATACACAGACAGGGCTACCTGGCCATGCCCTGCCAATCACTTCCCTCTCACATACATAAGGGTTAAGCTCTACTTTAGGAATAGGAAATGTTTTTTTTTTTTTTTTTTTCCCTGGCCCTATGATCCTGTGATTTGTACTAGGAAGCTGTTTTGATGGCTAGAAATCTTTTTCAGCCCAGACTTATTTGCAGACAATTTACATATTTTCCCTTAGCAATAGTACTTTTTTTTTTTTTTTTAAATCTTAAGTACCTCTCTTAGCAGTCTTTATCTGCAGATTCATCTATAGAAAATAATTATCCATTCCTTAGCTTTCACTTTGTAGGCCTAAAAAAGCCTTATTAGCTTCTTTTTTCACATTCTCTGTACCATCCCAGTAACTCTTCTTGCTATTAATACAGAGTGCACTTATGGTTTTTTCACATGGCTCACCAGAACAGTGTGTTGTGTTACAGATCAGATCTAGACTCAAGACAACAGCACTAATGCCCTTCTAAATTTTTAAAAAAGTTTTATTTATTTTTAAATCTATCCTGGAAGAAGACCTCTGGAAATGAAACCCAAGATACCACACTTTTATTTTTCAATTACATCATATGAATGACTTATTCTGTCTTGGATTCAGTTGCATGCAGATACTATGGTCCTTTGTAATCATTTCCACACCAGAAAGCTCTTACCTTATTAAAGGGATTGTTATTAGTCTTTTAGTGTATGACTCTGAATTTTACCCTACTTCCATTGTTTTTGAATTACAACACAATTCATCCTACCCCAACCCCTTCTTTATTAATAGCAGCTCCTGGGAAAGCACTCGCAGTGAGTTTCAGTGGCACTCATTTAAAACTTACACTGCTGAAGATTAAACCCCTGAGAAAATTCATTCCTACGCCTGTTCCAAACCTAAACACTCTTCCAGTTTTACAGGTTGATATCTCTTGTTTAACTAGCCCAAATTCACCTTAGAATTCTGATTCTGTCTGGTTTAATTAATATTTAAAACTGTCCAGATGAAGGGCAGCTAATTAAGTCCCTTTGCCTAAGTGAGACAGACTTCAAAAAGGTATCAGATATGTTTGGCACAATCTATTTTGAGAAAACCTCGCGGCATTAAGTTTCATTGACCTTTTTATGTTTAATTTTTCTTCTCCAAAAGTCTCAAAGTTGTTTTTGAAGCCTCCTGTACTGTTATAGCCAGTCAAGCAGGGGAACAGGTGCCCAAGGAACCTCTCCCAGCGTGTTCGCCATCGCTTACTGACAAGGCCAAGCTTGGCAGATCTCTATGTCTTCGCCTCCTTTTTCCTCACTCTCTCAACAATTCCTATGTGTCACAGAAGGTCAAAACTGTTTGAAAAGACAGTATAAAGCTGCACTAGTCTCAATGCAAAAGAGGTTTTGTTTTCGCTCACAGGGTTGTATCTCCTTGGCAGTTATTTTTCACCAGGTATTTTTTAACATTTTATGGTTTTTATACATAATCTTCAATAAAGCTATTTTTATAAAAATCTTCTCATGCAGTGCTATATTTCTTGCATTCAACTTTGAATTTCTTTGCATTCATATGAAGTTTTAATACCCAATATTACCCAATCACTGAGTAATAACAATTTACTGAGACTCACATATGATCTCAAGATTTACACCAGAAGACATTTAGGGTACAGGTTCACAGTTTTTAATGGATAGCCTGATTAGCAACAGATACTGTTACTGGCAGCTCCTGATTCTGACAAATCATTCTGAAGTGACTTGCATGCCACTAATGGGGCACCTATCACAGTCTGGGATTGATTATACTTATTTTTAGTCCTTGAGAAGTATGAAAGAGATAAATCCATTTTGATTGCAAAAAAAGAAATGGGAAAAGATATATTTCTAATTAAATTTAGACTCAGGATTGATGAGAATTATTCATCAGAGTTCCAACTGAAATTACCGGCTATGGTACTGATTATCCTGTGTCTTCCTGTCAGAAGTCTGTCCTAGTAATTATAGTTTGCATTAAGTTAAACACAATAGAAGTACTTTATTCAAACCTATTTTAGCTCTGGAAAATTTTAGTTGAATATGAAAGTTACACAGATCTGGGCAGGATTTTTTAAGTGTAAGTCCATTCATCACTAAATATGAGGTTTTGTAATAAAATACTGCATGTGCAATTTTGCTGCATAGTAAGAATCTGGCATCAGAATCATAAAGAAAAACAAAAAAAGGCTTTTGCTTTTAAAAGTTAGCATTAAGAGATCATGCTTCTCTCTGCAGAGACACTGTTAAAAATTTTATCAGGATATTTTTAGCTCTGTCTTAGAGCAGCTGGAGCAAAAAGTATTTTTAGCAGTCTGATCATTATTCCAGCATCTTAATCAATAGACCCGTTCACCTGGTCTGCGATACCTGGTACGATGATCTCAGGGACATCCAGAATGTTGCCAAATGAAGCAGTTTTACGGTGGCCTCGTTTAGGCTTGGAAAAGGCTGAAAAAATACACATATACAATACACATGCAAAACACTAAAATGGCAATAGCAAAATTACTGAACTTTTATTATTGCATTTTTTATAAATTTTGTTAAACTATTGTCCATGCAGAATGTCATGCAGAATAAACTGCATTGCCTTCCACTCATGCTTACAAAATAGTAAAGCAACTGTTAAAAAGCAAAAATGCAGAACTAGCCATCAATACAACAACGTGTAATTAGTTATAGTTAGCAACACAAAAGTCAAACATAGAAAGCAGCATGGCAACAAAGAAGGGGAAAAATCAAAGGTAGTTATCTAAATAGGGAATAAATTATTTCATGTCACCTGTATACTTAAAATAGAAATATACTCTGGATACCCTGAAGTCGTATTATACTTCTTCTGGAGTCTCAGGTATACAGTATTGCACTGACAAAACTACTAGCAGGAGCTTATGTTTCCATGAATCATCATTTCCTGTTAAGTGAAATCTAACCTGCCCTTAGATTATACTTATTGTTTTCTTAGATTAGATAATTAATCCTGACTTCTATTTTTTTTTTGTTTTGAAAACAGGATATCACCACCAACCTTTTCATTTTTGAATGATGCTCAAGAAATACTATATATTTTGGAATAAAATCTAACGACTAGGTTTCTTTCTTTTTTTTTTTTTTTTTTTAATTTTTCCACTTKTTAGTTTAAGAATATATAGTACCTACTTGAAGAAAAATATACTTCCTAACTGTAGGGTTCCAGTATGTCCACCTCAAACTTGCTATCTAATACTAATGTGCAGTGTGATTTCTTCCTACAATTAATCTAGAAATAGACAAAACAAAAACACTAAATAATTATTTACTCTTAACAATAGCCCAGCATTACCCCAATCATGATTCTTTTTTTCACGTTCACAGCATATCATTCCTGTCACACAGTTAAAAAGAAAAAAAAGAAAAAAAAAAAAAAAGGGAAAAAAAAGAAAAAAACAGGAAACCCAAACAATTGAACTAGTGCTGTTTCAGCTCTTTTTAATAAAGCTAGATGGATTCAGTCTCACTTCCCAAAGACCACCATTGCATAAAGTATTTTTGTTTAAATAAACTGTATATCAAATATGTGCATTTATTAAAAGGAAACGCTACAGTTATAAAAATCTTAAATATATTCTGAAATAGCAATTACTATTAAAACCGTCTACTTACAAAAGACAAAGCAGGAAAATTCAAAGCCTCGTACAACATTGGGTCAGAGTTATCTCCACTCAAGTCAAAACACTGAACTGACTTTCTAGTATCAGAGACCAAAGTCTTGACATACTCCAAAATAAAAATGACATGTTGTTATCATCAGGTAAGTATGCAGCTACCCTCTGTGTTAGGAAATCTTTAGAGATATTCAGAGTGAGAAGTGCTATGCAGTCATCTAGTCAAATATTGATAGTACAGAAAACAAAGCTTAGAGTAAGACTTTAAAGACATTAATGTAAAAATTGTTTAGGGAAGGTAGTACTATCTTGTGAGTATCTTCAATATTTAGCAAAACAGGATCTTGGACTAATTATAATAATGAACAAAAAATCAAATAGTTATAATGCAGAAGATAGCCATAATATGATGCATGTTTCCTGTTTATAGTTACTCAATTATCCTTATTTTTAAGACAGGTTGAGAAGGACTATATGAACTAAATAAAGCTGGACTAACAAAGGTAATTTTGTCTCATTATTAAAATCTATGGTTATGTATCTTAATAAAAAGTTTCATATGGGAAGTTTGTTTAGATCACTCAATAGCATCTTTGATGAAGAGAAGAGACAAGAAAGTGTTTGTCAGGTATAGAGATTTTTATTAATTTGCTTTTCTGAAAAAATAAAGACTGCTTTCACCATAAGATCATGAATTTATACTTGCACATAAACTCCCACTCACTCAGAAATTCAGTATTTAGACACACTAGTTTATAACTACCTAAAGCAAACCCAGTACCATAACTGTAGTTATGCTTTTTTTAAAAAAAGAGAGAAAAAAAGAGAGAAACACTTTGGTATTAAGACAAATAAAATAACCTTCTAGTTTCTCCTTCTGAAATCCATTTCTCTCAAAGTGGATTTTAAAAGTTTTTATGGAACATGCCAAACTTGAAACCTACCTTCTCATTCCAATGTATTAAAATAATCTTGAAGGAAACGTTATCTCAGTAACAACTTCGATAGCAGAGATGAGAAATAATATTAATTTGGATGCAAGGGCAAAATCTTGCGCACTTGGATTAGGACTGATGTTTAAAAAGAAACCTTAGAATTTTAGAAAGCAGAAAATCTAATTCAACAAACGTAACCTGTTTGTAATCAATCTGAGAAGTCCCCAGTGAAAAACACTCAAGTGTTGAGTGCACAACTGTTAAAGAAGCCATCTTCTCTTCCACACTTAAATGACAATAACGAGTACAATAAGGACTACATGCAAAGTTCAAGTATTTTCATATGGCTAATCTTATTAACCATCTCTAAGACTATTATGTTTTGTATCTTCTTTCCTTCCAGTTCCTCTTTCTGTCCCCCAGACACCCTTTGTTTTTACCTGTGGTGGAAGCTATTCTTGCTTCTATTTCAGACATGTCAGCACTCATCCTTTTGGCTTCTCCTGAAACAAGGGCTGACTGTGGTCGCCCACGAACATCTGACAAGCTCTCCACACTGCTCCCACGAGATGGGGGTAAACTCAAACGGCCAGGATCACCCTGTTTCAACAACCACATTTTTAAAAAGAAAAAAACATATATCCGCAGGAGCCCCTCCATAAAGCACCCAAGTATGTAGGCTAAAATATATTTCTATTACTGTCATTTTTAAGTACAAGTTAATTTGTATATTTTATAATAGCCAAGATATTTTCATTTAACTGTTGCACAAAATCAAGTATCTTGCAACTTTCAAAAGAATCTAACTTTACAGCGACTGAAATTGAGTAGAATGATGCCAATGTTGGCACAAGATTATCTTTCTACTTTTCTTTCCAAGGTGAAATAAAACTTAGCATTTTCATAATCTTTAATTTTTTCATGTGTCACTATTACTTTGGTGCTAATTTAAATAAAGGAGTTGCAAATATAAATGTTAGATCAAAACTTAGAAATACTTTTAAATTAAATAAATTGTTTTCAGATATCATAGATATCTTCGTACAGCTTTATCTTTTCCAAACCATTCAGGATTTTCCTTGTCTTTTTGTGCTCTTTACTATAAATGACTCCAATTTTACACTACTTTTGAAAGAAAAGACACTAATGTTTTATTAACTTCAATATTTTCACAGCATTTCTTGAGGGAGGATCATTAACTCATGCTAGTCGCCAACTCAACGTACCACTAATTAAAGTTAGTGAACTCACATATTTTGAGAAGCACTTCTGTATTTCCCAGGTAGGGTCGAATACTACCTGTCTTATTCTTGTTACAACTAGAGCAAGTTATCTGGAAAATTATTTTTCTTTTTGATTTACAACTGCAATTTTGGTATTAAAAAAGCTGAAGTGTACAATACAGTTGCTGCTTTGAGCTCCTTCCTGACTCATGTTACTCCTCATGTTTCTGTGCTTTGCAGAAGTTCTTTCACTTTGTCCTCATTTCATTATGGACATGCCAGCCCACTGCTGTAGCTGCAGCTATCACCTAGAAGCAAGTTCTGGTTACTGCTACTGACAAAATAGGTGCTATTACTTTTCTCTATAGGGAGCAGGAGTACAAGACAAAGAAGAATCCTGTTTGCTCTCTATTTGTGTCTATGTTAAAAGTGAAATATCCTCCTTGTTGCGATCCTTTATAAAAAAGGACTGTGAGTAAGCAAAATCATATATCTCTATGGAACATCAGGATATGCAAAAAAACACTCAATACATTTAGAAACTATACATTTAAAGGCTGCAAAATTGAAAAATAAACCAAAATTGATATCTAGCAATTACAGCAATTACATCATTTCTGCAGCTAAAACTTATTTCATTATCAGGGTTCAAAAATCCATGCATTTCTTACCGGCTGCTTAGCTGTATTCTTCATTTGCTGTGCCAATTTCGATTCTAAACGTTTAATAGTGTCATTTGTAGAAGTTCCTTGAAAGTCACTTGGTTCTATGTTAGCATCACTCTTGTTACTTGTGTTTGTGGAAGTGATGTCCATGAATGAACCTAAGGGATCCGCAACATAGAGATCAGCAACACAGAAAAACTTTTAAGAAACTACCTTTCCACTAAAAATACCAAAGTGTCTTGTTTACTGGCATCTCCCCAGAAGATTTCGCTTTAATTCAAAAAATACTTTTACCGAAAGCCACACTGCAAGATTTGCTCATATCCATTAATAAAATGTAAAAACAAAAACAAGCCAGAAGATCCTACTAAGCATTCGGATGACATTTTGAACTCCAGGTTTGGTTTTTTTCTGAAACTGTTGTGGTAGATGTTACATTAACAACAAAATCCAGCAACTTCACTCACAATTAATGACAAGGTTAATCATTAACTTGCTTTAGAATAACAAGAGAAATACCTCAAAGTAACAGCCAATATATACCGGTAATTTAAAAAGGTAAATCACATCTTAAAACTCATGTGCTGAGAAGTGGAGAACAGCAAGTAAAACCAATATGCTGATAACACTGGGAAGATTTTGTAATGCAATTTGAAAGTTGCAAACCAGACTTTATGTCGAATAATAGGAATTTGGGGCAAAACAAAGAACCACCACCACCACCAAGCACTGGAAGGTGAGCATACTTCAGCTGAAAACTAATACAGGATGAAAACCAAGCTACAAATTGAGAACATAGATGGTCTTTATTTCCTGGTGGCTTTTTTTTTTTTCTCTGGGGGCAAGATTATATGAAAACTTACCCTAGGTGTTATTCCATTCAGCTTTCTGTTAATAACAGGCAGCTTTGTACTTGGTTTATGTCTGTATACTTACTGTAGCTTAACATAAAACAACTTCGTTTAAATTGTGGAGATTAGAACTGAAAACAGCAACGGTTTCTAAAACCTTAAAAACATCAGTGCCTTAAACATTCCACAAGAGTAAGTAATTGAAAAGCTAGCAAACTTAGTGAAAAAAGGGAAGCCTTGAACTTGGATATTCTGAGATAATCCTTCATGGATTCATTCTCCTTCATGGTACATTCCAGCAGAACTATTTGGATGAAAACATTGATCACGATGTGTTGTGATATATTAACAAAATCTTGGGCTTTTCTAATGCTTAAGATTTTGGAAAGGTTAGCTTTCCCGATTTAAGTTCAAAATCAAGGTGAGACTGGGCGTTATAATCTACCAGCATCATTTCATGTTCCTTTTCTCTCATTTATATAAGCATACCTGTACTAGTGGCAGAGTTGCTTTGGCCTTCATCTGAATACTGGCAAGGATACTGCAGAGGTTCATCAGCTCCTGGAAAGTACTGTGGGAAAGTAAACCACAGTGTTTTAATTAAAAGAGATAGCTAAAATTGTTTTTTAATTTTTCTTTAAATAATAGTTTATAAACATAATCTATAATTAACTTTTCTAAAGAGAAATACAATTATTTTAAGAAGCATATTAAAAAACACATGTCTATTAATTTCTCCATATTTGTTACAAATGAAACATTACTGCATACTCTCACTGATGGCTCTTTTTCAGTTTGGTTCTATAAGAATATTTCCAAGAAATCCTGCACTGGTGATAACCACAGTCATGATCAGAGTCATGAATCAGAATCCACGATGCCATCTATGCAATACTCAGCATTAATGTAATAAATAAAGGCTAACGAATATTCCACAATATTTAATATTTTGAAAATCTGCTGAGTTGATAAGATACTAAAGGACATTACTGCAATTGAAAAACCTTAATATAAGGAATTCAACCTGTCATTCTTTTGAAAGCTTTCTGGATTAGAAAAAGATGTGAATACTACACGTGCTATGCTCACAAAGTGTTCTGTTTATGCAGTATCATTTTCTACTTTTAGATTACTTCACAGAGTAATAGCTTCTACTCCTGCACAAAAAAAAAAGGTGTTGAAATAACTGAAATGAAAAAATACTGCTGTTGACAAAAGTATTTCAGACTTGGGGAGCATGTGTTCACTTTGCAGTGTTCAAAAAACAGAATTATGCATATTCTGGTTTTCAAGGAGCCAGTCAAAAACCCACAAAATGGTTAAGTGACACGTCAGGGTAGAGCCCTGTAACAATCAAAATTTTGTTGTTGTAACCTGCATTGGTTTGATCTAGTACAGGTCCCGTAACAGAGGAATGGAATTAATCCTGTGCCACTGTGCTTTGTAACTTTCTAACGTCTTACCTATAAATTCTGCTTTGATAATTGGCATCTGAAAAGTATGGGTAAAACACTGAAAAAAAAAAAAAAGCCTACCTTTCATAATGTAACTGTTTAAAAAAAATAATTAGGATACTTAAGCAATTTTTTACCCGCATCAAATGTGTCATTATTTTGACTATTTCCTCCATGGATGGTCGCTGTGAAGGATCCTTGGACCAACAACGGGTCATTAAGCTCTCAATCGGTTTAGGTAAGTTTTTGATCAGTGGTGGCCGAGTACCTAAAATTGAAGTTAGAAAAACTCCTTAACTCGCTTAGCAGACCATGAGAAGGATGACAATGACAGACCTTTTTCTGATAGTTTGCTAAATAAATATAGAAAAACCATATAGCTAATTTAGTGTGAGGAACTGGCCTGCACTTAATTACATCTCAATGGAAAACGAACAATCACCACACTCCAAAACACGCACACTGACAAAAAACTCCCTTGGCTTACACTATGTACAAGTTGCAGTTACATACAAGTAGGTAGAAATCTCCAACTTTGATTTTGGTAGTGGTTTGAATAAATTAACTGACAAGATGCACTGCAATTCTAATTTCAGTGGCTAATTAAAAGGTTATCCCTTTCTAAAGAGCAGAAGTCTAGTCAAAAGCTAGGAAGGAAGCAGTAGTCAGTCTTTGGTTCCTAATATCACATTCATACAAAAAAAATATATATTTCTGGGACTGTTTTTGCTCTTAAGAACTTCCCTAAAGTACTGGAAGGATCTATTTTGGGCCATTTTTTCATGGCCTAAGATAGAATTAACATAGGCATATTTTCAATTTTACTTATGTTACTTTACTTCAAATATTTTATGAACTATTCATCTCTTTTTTGTTCAAGTTTTTTTTTTTTTTTTAATTAAAGCACTTTACAACAAATGCTGTTTGTTAACATTCAGTTGTGTTTCACAGAATCCCAGAATGGCTGAGGTTGGAAGGGACCTCTAGAGATCACCTAGTCCAAACCCCCTGCTCCAGCAGGGACACCCAGAGCATGGGGCACAGGGTGGCATCCAGGTGGGTTTTGAAGACCTCCAGAGAAGGAGACTCCACAGCCTCCCTGGGCAGCCTGTGCCAGGGCTCTGTCACCCTCACAGGAAGGAAGCTCTTTAACACAGGAAATGCAAAGGCATTGGGTATACAAAACAGCACGCATTTAGAACATGCTGACCAGAAGAAGTAAGATATGAAGTAAAAGTGCCACACAAGTTTCACGAAAGATGAAGCACAACAAAAATCTAGTGATGCAAAAAATATTTTTAAAATATAAAACTAGTGCCAGTGTATTGAGGGTTTTTTTGGTATTTGTATTTGTCTGTTGCAGCACTTGCATTTCCTGCTACTTATAATTGTAGTTCATGAACAAGTGGAGGACAAGAACCAAAGTGACAGCGTATAAATATTAAGTCTTCATGACAAACATGCATATTTAGAGGGGCATAAAAATGAAAAAGTATTTTTTTTTAAAGCAGCTTGGAGCATTTAGTAAATTTATGGGTCAAATACACCATTTAAAGGGAGTAACATATTTTCAACTCACCATTGTGAACTGCCCACATTATGCGGAAAGCTGGACCACCAATCTCATCAAAAGGTTTCCTACGGGTGATTACTTCCCAGAGAATAATACCCCAACTGAAAACATCACATTTTTCACTGTAATTGCTACCTGGAAAAAAGTCATCACTGTAAATTGTTTCTTTTCTATATAACGCATTAAAGAAATATAGATTCTATTGATAAATAGTTTCATACGCTTCTTGTCACCTCATTCTAGCTTTGTTGAGAGAGAAGAAAGAAGTTTTCTGAAGAAGTTTGATCTATACTAACTTAAGCCTGAAATTATTTGACAGCATGACAATTAAGAATGTTTCTCTCTGGAAATCATCCTTTCCACTAGGTGACTTCCCAAACATGATCTATTATGTTTCAAAACTCTCAAATGTTCATGAGTTTATTGATGATACTTGTTGCCATAGTCCCAATATGTCAGCCAATATCATCTTTATCATATTCAGCACTGATTATTAACTACAAGTTTTTAGCAGAGTCAGCAAGTTCCAGGTGAACAAATCAATAGATTTTCCAGTTCTTCACCACCTTACTTTCCTCCTTACTTATTATAGTTACTTTTTGCCATATCATTACTTATTCCAAGTTCTATCATTATAAGTTAAATATTTCTAAGTCTCCTGTGTAAAGCTGCAGAGCACGTTTAGGTGATATTAAAATATAGAACAAAAATGTCCACAGACTGAAAGGGTGCTGAAGAGAACGACAATGCCAATGCTAGAAAAACAAAAATGCAGTGGCCAACAATCAACGGCAGATTGCTCAGGAAAGTAGAACAGTGTGTCCTCGCATGCAGCCACAGCCCTGCTGGCTCCTCTTTCACCCTTCCCTGCTACTGGCCACTCTCCTCCCTGGCCAGGGCCAGGGGTGCCCAGCAGGAGCTCCGACAGTGAGCACTGCACAGCTCACACTCCCTCCCTTAGGCCAGCATGCTCAGTGGCAGCAAGAAAGCAACAGCTTTTTCCCTTGTTCCTGCCAGCCGCTGGCATATGAACATCTGCTGAGGTGACTTTTCAGAGGAGAGAGCCTGTGGAGCAGCAAACAACTGCTTGGTGCCACTGAAGGTCCAATGCGGCACGGAGCGCGAGGCAGACACGCAGCCCACGGCAGGGAAGTGATGCTGTTCTCCTGCTTGGGAAAGCAAATGCAGCTTTACCTTTGCAGCCAAGGAGTCTTAGACTAGCTGTGTGACTAGCTAGTGCTGTGTGCCAGCTCTAACAAAGTATCCTATAGAAAAATAATATTCTATATGTTGGTTCATTACTTATCCTGCCTTGGTCTGTTAGGTAACAGATGCACACAATGATTCCTTAATTTAGCCAACCATCCCAAAGCATTTTTAAAGTTTTTTTTTAAATGGGATTTCTGAGATTAAATATTTCTCCCGTCAGTTAATCCTAATCTAAATGATATTATTATTTGATCTGTAAAAGGCTTCAGGTGCCCTAATATTTAAAACCTCAGGAAAATCTTTATATAAGAGGAATTATTTAATGAGCACTCTAAGTCTGCCCCCTACCACAGAGAAATTTCTTACCCCTTCATTACTCGTCTTAAAATTTTAGTGAGTACTAAAACAGAATTAAAACATTAAGATTTATTCTATTGTTGATATACGATGCCGTAGTATATGCTAACAAGTTCTTAACAATTTAGACATTTGACTTTAAAATTCTGATTAATGACTGTTTCAAGATGAATTTGATATACTGTGGCACAGAAATTACTAGATGTCTTGCTACTTTATTTAAAGGTTTGTGCTATCATCAGTAAATATTTCTAAAAACAAAGAACAAAACAACTTTAAAACTTAGGCTTTTGCTGTCAATGAAAAACAAATTTGCAATAAAGGATTTATAATATTCTGCCTTTTTGAATTTGTATATGAGGTAAATTATGACAGGTGCCATAAATCTCTATTAAAATACACTTTAAATTTATTTCGTAATCTGTTTTAGAAAGGGATTTCTCACTTAAAAAATCTGCCTTTAAAACAGACTCATTACTTATAAAAGGAAAACAAAACAAAGAAGGACCTATAAAATTAAATTTAAATTTAAGTTATTGTTAGAATAAAACATAGGTGCCTCAACATAAAGTGTCATCAAGACAAATGTTCATGCACCACAGAGCACCAGAATCTGCCCTGGCCATCCTCTTAAGCAGTGTGAGAGAAGTGGGCACCTTCAAAATAAAGGCTCCGAAAGAGTGAGCTCTACTACAGGCATGTAATTTACTGCTCCTCTATGGGTAAGAACAGAAAAAGAAGAGAGGCTACTTGCATCCAGAATCTGCTAAAGTTCAGCACCTGCAAAATGTTGCAACAGGACTCCTGTTTCCTAAGGCAGGGAGATGACTTCTCCAACCCCCCTGCTATTCACAATGATAAACTTAAACCTGAAGTCCTGACTGGTTAAAATGTATCTAATTTGCAGTTTAATAATGAGTGGATTATTTCGCAAATAATCATGCAGCAATTTTACCTGATTACTAAATGTCATTAGTCTTCTCCAGCTATACTCCAAGAAATGGTTTGCTCTCCTACTCAACTAAATTAATCGTTAATAGGGAGCTTCTTAGTATGTGGAAAAGAGGAAGTATATTAAACCTCAAGAGACGAGGAAAAGCTAGGAAGGAGATGAGAATAAAAAATGCAGACTTGGCTAGAGTTATAAGGAAGTGGGGGACTGAAAATGAAGGCAATTATGTTCAATTTAGAGAGACTAACAGGGAAATACTAAAGATAAAAGCCGATCAGAATATGGAATGAAAGTAATGACAGCATATTTCAATGTCAGAAGGGTTTGGAATTACTTAAGATATCTCAGAAGCAGCACAATCCTGGGGAAGCAGACCCTGGCTGTGGCTTAGTTGCATATGGTTGGAAAATAAGACGGAATAGCAGTTTAAAGGTACCACTTATGCAAACCTTAAAACCAACAAATGAAATTTAGACTCCTGCCAAGACTTTCTTTCACCGCTCACTTCAAACTTTAATTTTAATAAGCTGATTTTAACATAAAGCCTAGGTAAATTAAGCTCTTTTTTTCTTATATGACATTCTTTTTCAAAGTTACATTCCGCAAAGAACACCTCATATTGACACTGAAAATTACTGTTACCTTCAAAAACTTCAGGTGCCATCCAAGCAGCACTTCCCTTGTTGTTGGTCATGTGTGTTTGAATATCACAGGCTGTACCAAAATCACAGATTTTTAGAACTGTCCCCCCAGCTACTAAGAGCAAACTGTCAAGAAAAGAAAAAAAAAATCAAGCTTGTGGGATGAAACAGTATGGTAATAAACTACTGAAATTTTATTACAATAATTGTCACCTTAACATAGTTGAAAAATCAAGAGGGTTTGCTTCTCAGTATTCAGTTTTATGACTTTGAAAAATAAATAAAAGATCACTGGTACTTCCCCTGAGCATGTGCAATAGTAAAATATATAAAACATATGTTTATATAATTAATATTTGTACATCATATATTTTTAAATAAATATATGTAGGCATAGTACTCCACCAGACACATATTGACAAAAATTAATCTTTCAGATGTCAAAGATCAAAACCTAACAATTGCAAATAATAACTTTACTGAAAGAATGATCAAAACTCTCATAAATGTCAATCAATGTAATTTTTTTTTAAATGAAGGAATTCAAAGTTACATGCTAAATCTTAAGTGGGAAAATGAGAAAGAACGAGGGACTCGAGGTGCAGTTTCACATTGTAACTTTTATTGGGTGTAACTGCAGACTGTCACAAAAAGGGGATGATGCTGCTGATCCCCACGCCTGTTTTCACTTTATCCCTGGAGTCAGATTTGAAGGCTGTGCCCCTGCAAGGTAAGTCGGACCAACAAACTGGAGGAAACACTACTCACTTCCGCATTGGTAACAAGCAGTGAGAGAGTGTGGCTGAGTTTGTGGAATAGGCAGGAGGAAAGCAGAGAGGAGGTGGGCCATGTTGGAAAAGAGCTTAATGCACCAGATTAAGTATAAAGCAAGTATAAGATTAAGTACAAAGCAAAAAAAAAAAAAAAAAAGCCACTTGATTTCCTAAAAAACATTATGATCCACTGTTAGTAAAACTGAGACATTCTAAATGGCTCTGCTTAGGATCCAATTCCACGCTAGAAACCCTCTTTCAGGATGCAGGGCAGGAACAGGATGTTTTTCCCCCTTAACAGAAGGTAACTGAGTACTGTGCTTCCTGTACCATTCATCACCTTTCTGTAACTAAAGTCTCAAATGAACAGCTTTCATTTAAAATACACTATATCAAATAACATTAGTACCAATAAGGTATTTCTTCCAATTTTTTAATTCATTTATTACACATGACCAAAAAATCAAATTGCAACAAGAAGCTAAATGCTACTTATAAACCTACTTTGGTGGTTTCAGGTCTCTGTGAATTAGAGCCTTTGGTTTCATGCTGTGGAGATAAGCCACTCCTTGGGAGCACTGTAAACACCAACTCATTGCATGGGCAGCAGTATAATGCGGCAGAGGTTCAGCACCGTGTAGCACTGCAAAACAAAGGCACAAACTAAAAAGAACTTTATTGCATATTACAACAGATACAATGGAGTTAACAACATACCCACCAAAAAGGTTTATAGAATCTACGTAGTTACTTGTCAGTGCCTCATCATTATCAATACAAAATATTTTTCCAAATGTAAAAATAATGGAAATTGTTAAAATAATAATTTCCAAATTCAAACTTTTTTCATAACATTTTTTCATTAGAATTCTGCTATACAATAACGAGCAAAATGAACCATGATACTTGTTTTCAGCTATACCTAGTGAAGTGCTCATGGAATTTACAAGGAAGCGACAGTCTTAGCTGAAGTTTAAATGGCTTGTAAAGAACTGGTATCAAAAAGCAGACTACTGGACTGAAAAATAGAGTATACTATTTTCTTCTTATTGTTTGTAATACATATAAAAACAAAATTATATTTAGATTATTGTTTCCCTAACATCAGCACTTCAGCTCCTGAAAGACACGATGTTGAAATGATACTCACCATTGTACAGGGAACCTCCTTCAGCATACTCCATAACAAGACACACCTTTGTGGGGAGGGGACAAAAAATAGGCATGTTTTAAATGCAGGGGCGGACAACAGATTTTGCAACCTGAAAGGAAAGTGCTTTCAGAGGAACTGCAAAGAGGCTGTATCTAAGCTAACAGAAAATTTGTAAGGAATCAGTCTGAAAGGGACACATTCAGGTATAAGAAACAGAAAATAGTTTTTTTTTAAAACTAGTTACTTAGTTCCCACTGTAAATCAAGAAAGAAGAGAATGACTTGAATGCCTTGCCTTTGCCCATCATCTAGCAAACTAATTGCAATTTGAAGATGGCATTTGGTTTTTCTTTGCTAGGTTTCTTTCTTTTTCAAGAGCAGCTTACAAAGCATTTTTAAATATACTGACAAAAGAATTTAACTAAAAACAGTGACTGAGCAGTTTAATCAATTAAATAACCCTTATGAGATTTAGTTAAGGATATTTCTGTACTGTCACAGTGCTTGCTTTTCTGCTTTGAGAGTTTGCAAGATCATTTGCAGCTGTGCCAGAAACAGTGGCTCCTGAAGAGGGCAGAGGGGAATCCCAACTGATTTACAAGCTATAAACCATGTACTGCTAATATAGACTATAAAGACAAACCCAATTACATTTTTAGCATATCACATAGAATTCTGTAGAAGAGTAAGATAAATTGAAATTTAATAGATGTCTTGAAATAGCATTTGGCTTGAAATATTTTTCTTGAAATACAAATTTTCCTAAAGTATTTTTTCCCACAGAAAAGTCAAACTAAAAACACCAGACAATCTCAATCTCTCTCTATATGTCCTTACTGCGGCTAAAACATGTGCAATGCATATAAAACATAACTTTTGTGGGTTGATGCTCACTTATGGCAAGCTTCATTAATATAAGATGTCTAACTATAACTTACTGGGTTTAGACAGGCTCCATATAACTTGACAATATTGGGATGGTTTACTCGCGACAGTTGTCGAAGCTGCAACACAAATCACAACTCGTTTCAAACCACAGGGTAAAAAAACAAAACACTAAAGCTTTGTTTTCACACTTGTAGCTTATACATAACATCAGTAATTGCAGTTGTATAGGTCTGCATAACCCTTATGCCCTGCAAAAAATCAGATTTTACCATCTCACGAGACTGATGCTCGAGTTTACATTTTTATGTAATTAGGTTTTTCTCCAACTGGAAATGAGGATTTTTTAAGAAACTGAAATAAACTTATTTTACTGTGTAGTAAAATTATTTTGATAATAAACAGTGTGCAACTATGACATTCTGAAGTTTTTTTTGCTCTTCCTGGAGCCCCCCTATGTTGGAATCAAGGTTGTCTGACTTTGTAATCAGTCTTTGACAAGAAAGAAAACTACTGTTCTTTTAAAAATGAAAAACAACTATAAAATAAATTATGGGATTTAACATGATGCAGTTGCAAGGATCTGTTTCTCATACTAATGGATACGGAGTGTTTAGAAGCATGACTACTACAGAAATTTTTGTACTGAACTTTTCTTTTACAAGCATACAGAAGAGCACATAACAAAAAGTAATTTTTTTTCTTCAGGCAGATTTCTGAGGTAGCTTGGTGCCAACACATGTTGCTGTTCTCCAGTCTAGGGAGCTGACAGTATTTTTTCCTCCCAGCAATTTCAAAAATTTTAACAGAACAGAATGGATTATTACACTTATTCCTTGCACTAAGTAGGTTTCCTGAATCCCTGTAATTCTTCAAATATTTCTAGGATTCTCTTCTTAAATATCCTTCCAACACAAAAATGTCAAGAGACTGATCAGATCCAGTCCCAAATTCAACCAGATTAAAATTAATTACATCACAAACTTACCATGGTAATAAGCAACCTATAAATATTTACACAGAGAGGCCAACTAGAAACAGTTCCTTTAACCTGAATATAAAAGCATGTCATAATTTTAGTTTTAAGATTAAGAGATTTATTTTAATACCTTTTGCATATCTTGAGCATCCTTGATTCTTACTGACTGAATTCTAATTAAATTACTTATTTGAAGTTTGATTCTAGAAAATATTATGCATCTTGGGAAGTTTATCAGTACACTCAAGGCCCTCAAGATCTTTTAAAAGAAGTAGTCACTGGATAAAAAGATGATTTGGCCTTAAATGAGTTACGTGTATTTGCAACCCTGAATATAAGAAAAAAATAACAAAACATTATTAAAATTGTTGAAAATTTAAGAAATATTTTCCAGGATGGACCTAATGATTCTGTTCTTCTTATGACAGATAAAATGAATAGAGTTGCATGAAGAGATTTTAAAAACTCTAGACATTTGAGAATTCCTTCTCCAGGAAAGTATGGAGTCCCACAGTTGTTGCCCTGAGCAACGCTGTTAGAACCAGCACAATTGTGAGCATGAGGGACGTAATGAAGGAGACAACATGTAACACTGAAAAAAAAGTGGACAAAACGGAGCTATAAATTCCAAAAACTTGGATATCTGCAGTTAACCTCAGGGTTTCTCAGAAACTGTAAACATATTCAGACAGAAGCTAGTTCAAACATTCAAGAAATTTTGAGTCATTATCAGACTTGAGCTGAAAAATTAGGAAAGTAAATCCACAGTATTCTGAAAAACTGATACTAGAACCATAACTGAAGGTTTATGTAAAGTAGCTAACACAGACGTACCTATAAACACTATTGATGATTAACACTGGACTACTTCAACAGGGAAAGGAAAACCTGACTGCATTTTCAGATTAGATTCACTTTTTTAAATTGAAAAATGAGAAACTTTCATTCAGAGTAGGTATGACATGACTCTGGATCTGCTCATACAGCAGCACTTGCAAGTGTTTCTCAGCTCCAAGACTGCCCTTCGCAGTTCAGCTGCATCTTGACTCCAAATGGGGACAGAATTCACAAACTCACTTCCCACCCCAACTGTGTGGGGGCCTCTTCTTTCTTCCTTTCCCATCACAGTTTCTATGGGAAGTGAATTAAGGGATCTACGATGTGCCTCAGCAGGTCTGGTCTGTACAATAGGGGGTGTCCTGACCTGTGTGTATCGGGGGGTAACAGACTCTCCACCTACTACCACACTAATTGCACCCATAAACTTAACAGAAGACAAAATCTACAGAAAAGAAACCTAAGGTTTTCCAGCAGGCTTATTGTACCTCTACGATGAAGGCTTTTCGTTCGGATTCGCTTTCTATCTGTTTAATGGCTACATCTTTGGCTCGCCATTTTGCTTTGCAGACCACACCAAAGGCTCCTCTTCCAACAACCTAGAACAACATGAAATATTGAAGTTAAAATTTGAGAAAAGTTTTGTTTTCTGAAGAGAAACTTAGAAACAGGAATTTTCACTTCTTTTTATTGAATTCTGCAGGAAGAGAAAAGTGGCAGCACTCAAAAACAACAGTAGGACACCCACTTGCAATTTAAGGTTGAAACTAGACCATAGCAAGAAGGCCAGTAACTGCTAGACGAAAGCACAGACAAAAGAAAAATCGGTTGTTCATACGCCTGATAAGGGAAAGGTAGAGAGGAGAAGGGGAAGAGATGGAGGGCAGACAACCTTAAAAAAGCAGCTCTTTCCAGACAGAAATTCCATATTTGGCCCCAGCAGTCTTTCCTTGCCTGGCTTTAACAACACATTGCTCATACTGTTGGTCCTGGATTACAAATATGGATCCCAAGGAAAAAAATGGACACTTTTTGTCCCACGAAAACTTCTTTTTTTTTTTTCGTGGGGAGGGAGGGTAAGACTAGAGACTGGTGGAAGAAAAAACAACAAGGATGGAATGGAGGTATCTACAGATGCAATTGTTTTGCCAGTTTATTTTGGTAGATTTTAATTTTACTGTTTCTCTTAAAATGGCTAAAGGTCTCACAGAAATATCAGAAAAACACGAAAAAACCCTCCCTTAATTACATTCAAAGTTCTTCACTACCAAGCTATAATTACTTACGACTTTACTAAAAAAAAAAAGACTTTGGAAAAAAGAATAAGACTAAAGCATAGTCACATCACAGAATTGAGGGTTGCATAAGCACGAAGGTTTCATAACAATTTATCAGTAACTTTGCGTCTGCTTGCACAGAGGCTTGAACTCGAGGAGAGGACACGAACGCACCGACTATTTACCTAGGATACAGGGCAAACAGAGCGGAGCAGCTCCCGCCCTGGGCAGCCTCAGCCTCCGGGGCACCGCGTGAAGCCATCGCAAGCTGTCAGGAGCAATGATGGATCCGGTGCAACCTCGAGCTTTACTATATGCGATAGCCCAGGCTGCCTTTCCTACTTAATCTGGAAAAAGTATTCACCGCAAAAACATCCTGTGTCAGGGGCAGGGATGGGGCTCGTGGCAGCTCCCACTTACATGTCATTTTCTTCCTTTGAGTTTTCACCCAATTTAGCCTTTAACGAGCAAATCTTTGGAAAAGTCAGAACAATTCGAACACTGTTAAGAGTCCCTTTCAACACAGGGCACTAGAACCAAGTAATTTAATAGCACAGGAGGAAAGAGCTATCTGAACTTTAGTTTCTTCACGCTCATTCCTTCTTGTCCCCTGCTGCTGGTGCCACACCATATGTCTGGGCAGTAGTGCATATTCTGAATTATATGCGGTGCAGTTAATGGAATTATTGACACAACAAATCAATAAACAGCAGTTGATCTGTGGCACTGTATGTTTGGAAAATGATCTAAAAATAAACACATTATTTTGATGAAAGACTTTTGCCCTCTAGGTGCCTTGTAAGAGAAAAAAGTCGGATATAAGGACAGATTAAAAGTTTAGAAATAAAACACCGATGCTTCTCCTTCTTCATTGAGTAAATTTTTCCAGGATCAGTTGGTTACAGATTGAAAAGCAAGGATGTATTTTATTTTTCTTCCTATAAAGTTCCCAGCAGTAAGAAATTGTATTTTACTGCAAAACAAGAAACAAACAAAACAAAAGCATGGCAAAAAAGAAAGTCATTTGCCTGTTTCAAAAAAAAAAAAAAAAAAAAAAAAAAGGCCTGAGTCTTATTTAAAGAATATGAACTATGTAAGATCCATAGAACAAACATTAGCTCTGCCTCCGTGTACAAATAGTATCAAATGCTGTATATAAAGATAGATGATACTGACTGGTAAGTATGTAGACTAGAAATCATGCAGGACATAGAGACTGAAGATATGTTAAGCTGTTAGGATGCATTTTATCTCAAGGGATGTCCATGATGACTTTTATACTCCCAGAGAAAAACAAGAAAATGCATCTATGCTTATTCAGATATACCATCTTCCTCTACCAAATGTCAACATTTTGCAGAGAATTGGTTGAAATTTTATATTAGCCACACATTTTTCCTACTCAAATATAAAGAAACGGAAACAATTTTTATCCCTTACCATTACATTTCTACATTACTTAGCTCTGCATTCTGGATACCTAGTGCATTTCATTTAAAAAGACCTCATGGAACATATTACACAGCAATAAAATGATTTGGGAAAACATTAGAAGCAGTTCCAAAAAATAGAGCTTCCCTTCCCCCAAAAGTGTCCTCCGTGCAAATCAACAAGACTTGTGCTTCCAAACAGGAAGGAATCTCCAGGTCATCTTTAATAATTATCTGTCCATTTAGTCATTGGCACGTCTGAGGCTCGTGCAAATTGAGCTTCTGGATCTCTCTGAGCTTCAGACACAATGCAAGACTGCGAAAAATACATACTCATCATCACTATGCAGAAATGAAGTTTTAATTTTAGCATCTTCTATTTTCAGTATATACTGGCTCCAGCAGTACTAAAAAAGTATAATATTTTCAGTTATTATTTACATCTGCCCTTACTGAACATGGTAAGTACACAGATAAAAAACAATATGGAACACTGAAGTGTCTAAAGAATCTATGAATCACAATTTAGAGCCCTTAAAATACATGTCCATCTCTTATTATTCATTTGGCCAGTCTCAAATTCCAGCTCTGATTCCTCCGTGCTTGCTGCATTTTATTAAGCAAGTTGAAGCAGTTGTGCTTCAAATGACCATAGGCAGCATGCTACAGGCAGCCCCTTTACGGAGCAGTTCAGATGTGCCAGTTCTTTATGGCCACTTTCTCTGACTAGTTACGTTTATTTGTACTCAATTATTTCCCAAATTCAACTCAATTCTAAGCACCACGCTCTCTGTCTGGAATTCACCAAACAATCCCAAAACATATAAACAAAGCCCGAAGCAGTCAACAATTGCATTAATTTTAAGTGTATAGGATTTAAACTTGACAGCTAGAGAGAGCTGTCAGAAGGTAAAAGACCTATGTAAAGCTTCATAGGACAGGGATGCCTAAACTAAAATCCATTGATCAAAGAGCAATTTAGATTCTTAACATGGGACCATAGTTTACAATTGCCACAAACCGATGTGGACATTCCTTGCTTAGGACATCATCTAACAGGGCTGCACAACACTGTGATGCTGCTATTCAGTGATTCGACTACATAATTTAGTTCTGCCCTCAAAATCATTTTCTTCTCAGCTTCTTTAGAACATGTTTATGGAGCAGCAAAGTGTCATCACGCACCTACAAACTCATTTTTGCTCTATGAAACATAGCTGTCTAAAGATACTATTAGCATTTAGATAGCTCATTTGTTCTAAGAAATGTGTGCAGCTGAAGTGCAGATAACAGTTTTTCAGGTTATACCTTCATCCCATTGAACAGCCTTTTACATTTCTGTTTCAAGAATTAAACTCATTTTAATTACCAGTCATTTAAATATAGCAAAGCACTTGACTCTTGTTCTATTATGGATTTTTTAAAAAAAAACTTTTACAGTTTTAGAGCATCCCAGACAGTAGATTCTTATTTTAAACACAAAATATGTGCAAAATAGAGCACTCTGGATGACGGACGGCAGCATGAAAAATTTGCTTTCTCGTCTTCTAGAAATAAATGATCATTCAGGAGTCAGTCAAGCACTGCTAGAATTTACTGGGTGGGCTAAACACAGGGCACAGAAGGGTTGCACTGCTGGCTTCAGTTTTCCCTCGGGAAAGGTCTTTTCCTGTTATTTCTGATAGTGGTTACGTTGTCATTCAGTGGTGACCTTTGCTGCTGCTAGACCTGGAAATTTATTGCTATCTCATAGATACAGGTCTAGCTTTCACCACTGGGATACAGAGTCCTGTTACTACTGTCCGGATTCTTTCCCAAGCATTCTTGAGGAGTGAAATCTCAGCATGTTTTACAGAAAGCAATCCGATTCATTCAACCAGTTGGGATGTGCACAGATAAATCTAAATTAAGTTTAGATTATTAGTGGTTTACTAACACTTGCTGAGTGCCAAAATCATCCGCGTGCAATTGGTGTTGTGTAACTTATGCTATATATGCAAACTCTAGTTCACATTACAACTATTTTCCTATGAAGATGAATGAGGGGCATCTTCCACTGCTGTAACTAAACTAAACAAACTTGAAACACTCATTTGAATTGGAAATATATTTAAACTAATTTACAGAAATTAAGGCTCAAGTTTTAAAAATTTGCTCTTTTTATTTTTTAATATATACTAGTTTTTGGTCTTCTGGAAGCCCAACTTCTAGAGCTAACTTTCTGAAAAAGGCTGAGAAGTTGCAGATGCTACTTACTTCAGATTCAATCCTGATTAACACATTTGGTTCTTTAAAACCAAGCCACATGTACTCATATCAAAAAATATTGTTTACATCTCAAATCATTCCTACAATCCTCTTCTAAACTTCCTCCAATTTTTCGGATTATTTTTAGAATGGGTATTCTACAACTGGACACAGGCCTCGTGGGGTTTTTGTTTTTATAAACCAAAGCTGCATTAAGGAGGCATTATCAGCTCCCTGTTCAGCAGCAGTTTATATGAACCACCCTTGCTTTGTACAGGAACAAATGTAACTGGTCAGTGCATCTCATCAGCTTTTAAAATTATTTATAAAACAAACGAGATCTGTATACTGTATATATCTTTCTCTTGTCTCCGAACTATTCCATAATTGCAGAGAACACATATAATTCTCAGCACACTTCCCAGTCAGCAAAATTTGTAAATCAAAGATGTTTAATGTAAGTGAATATACCATAAGCAGCTCATCTTTATATGCTGACATCTTAAGTAGGTTTTCTAAAAAAAACACTTGGAAAGTTTAACTGTTCACTTTTAAAAAACATTTCCTGAAAGCCCCTTACCACCAGCTACTGTTGTTCAAACAGACTGGGAAACAGACATCACTACACACTACAACGTATC